TAGCAACTTAAGTTGCTGTGACTAGGTGTGCCGTAGGAGAGGGTTGATGGGTAGGTCTGGCCCCCAACATCCCCTGGGACACATTCTCTTCTATTTTTTGGCATTTGGAGCTCTTGGAGGACCCAGATATTAAACTGGGATCGTTACTGAAGCCTATTTTATCTTTGTCACTGTAAAGTTTTAAGAATAGCCGAGAATGAACACAATAATGGAAACTCAACATTTCTTACTGGCGTTACATCTCAAAATAAGCGGGCTGGCGGCAGGTGGAAGGGTGTGAAATGCTCGATGTGCACGAATCTAAATAAGGCTATAAATATCTTAACATGTAACATGTATAATAACAATAAGAAGATACTGTAAGAGCAAGAATGTGTAACAGTATACTCTCCTAAATAACCAAGTATGGTTTTGTCCTGCGAGAGTAACACTAGTACTACTTAGGGCATCACAGTAAGGAGTTCATGGGTCATTCCCCCCCCCCCCCTGCAAGGTAAAGAAGCTGATGGGCATAGGATTTGAAAGGCAAGTGCGCATTTATTTTCAGCATTTAGCGTTAAATATAGTACTGCTGCAGCTTAAACTATGTTCTATCCCACACTTATTTTGACCAGCAAGTGAGGCACACCTGATGGATGACCCAATTGAAGTACAAACCCTTTGTTTGAGAACTACTGCACCCCAATACCCACCCTACCTGGAATTCAAGATCTCACAAACAATAGACTGGCAGGATAGGACTAGAATAGGCCTGATTGATGTGCCATGTGAGCGATGCTACAACCCAGAAGTAGTACTGAGAATCATCCCTTGATGTGTGGTTGGTAGAAAGTTCGAAACTTGAAAATTTGGTCATTTTTTAGGTTCACACAGGCATCCAATAATTACTCCATGTTTTAATCTGTTGCTTTCCATTGCAAATTATTAAATGCAAGTATTGAAAACTGTTTACACGGTGACCTCGCCCCTTTAAGACTGTTCTTTTTAGTCAGGCCACTCTTGGTAATCCAAAAAGTCACCATATTTTCCTATCAGGTACTCCGCCCCTGGACCTCGACCCTATTGCAACCTATTTCTTCATTTTATGCTAATTAGGGTAATGCACCCTCTAGAGGATTGATGGGGGGGAGGCTCTGCCTCAATACCCCATAGGAAACATTATCTTCACCTTGTATGCGGGGCAAAATAGTTGAAACTTGGGGGCACCGAGTGGAGTTTGGCTGAGAGCAATGTTTTCTGTGATATTTTACCTTCATTTTTTGTTTTGGTCATGTCGGCAGATTATTTCTTGTTCAGACTACTGCAACTTCCTGTCCTTTAAAAGAATATCATATTCAATTTGCCAGAACTTAGTGCAATGTTTGTGGATTCCCAGGAGTGCCTCCATGGTTGTTAGCGTCATTGACAGTGTAGCAGGGGTGCAGTCAGTTTTTAAACAATTACATTAAATAATCTGGATGCATGGACACTTGATGTACTGTTGGGTTAAGACGTGACTTGTTAAACAAATTACATGTGAGTTTTCAATGAAAGAAAAGTTAACTGTAACAAAAATATTACACCTTCAATTGTTACTAGTAAACATTTCAATGTATTTACTTAAATTACTGTCTACTTTAGAAAAGATCTTGATCAAAGAAGATATTAAGCTTCTTTTAATGACCACTCATTGTGTGACTTTTTTTTAGATATATTTATCTATTTATTTACTTGGGTGGATTAACTGATCACGCCATCATGGAAAAATTTGGATTGAGGGGAACTTTCCATCATGATAATTTCATGAAGGTTGGGGTGAAGGTAATGACTTGCCATAGATGAACAAGTGTGGAATGTACTATCCGTTGCTTTAACCCACGAACACTGGTATATTTTGAGGCCAAAAAGATTATTTTCCTGGCGGCTTCAAAATCGGTGCGAGTGGCCGCCCTGGAATCTGCCCGCGGCCCGCAGCGTATTCGGAGCACGAACTTCGATCCAACATCACACTCACGCCCAGCAATGTTTGAATTTCTGGGTGTCTCATATAAGGGACACCCGTCGTAAATGGGTTAAGAGGGAAATAGATCCCTTATAACAGTTGCCAATTAATGACTGACAGTATTTAGATTTAGCAATAGCATTATACTTGCATATAGAAAATGTTCTTAGTATGAATGAAAAGTGTAAATGCAATTTTTTATGTGGAAATATGAAAAGTAGTTTACTCAAATTTTATTCTAATAGATTGTGAATTTTGCAGGTAAGCAATGGCTCCCCGTAAAGGAAAAGTTCAAAAGGAGGAGGTCCACGTTTCCCTGGGACCTCAAGTCAGGGAGGGAGAGAATGTGTTTGCAGTCTGCCACATCTATGCCAGCTACAATGACACCTTCGTGCACGTGACTGATCTGTCTGGCCGTGAAACCATCGTCCGTATCACTGGTGGTCAGAAGGTGAAGGCTGATCGTGACGAGTCCTCCCCCTACGCTGCTATGTTGGCTGCCCAAGTAAGAATTCTTTACCACATAGGTATTCATTTGAGAATTGTACTGATAATGTAAATTCGGTACAGACCTGCTTTTTCTGAATTAGTTTCTCTGACCAGAAAATTGACATAATTAACCCATGCAGTGGAACATTCTGCCTAAAAGATACATGAAAAGTACATATTCAGCTATAAAAGTTTTTGCATCTGAGAAGTTTTACCTTTCATTGACCACCCCTTCTCCTTGCTAAGCTCCATCAAGGAGTTTGTCAGTTGCTTTATCAGTCTCGATTCAAAAATTATATCCTCTTAACATGTGTGAATTATTCCTTAATCCTCTAGTCACATCATTCCCAAGTCTTTTATGGTTTTTACATACCTAATTTGTTCCCTGTAACTCCTTAAACTGTTGAATCTGGTTGTCATGAAAAATTATGGTGCTGAGAATATGGGCAGTGGGTTATGTAAGTTGTTAACATCCTGGGCATGCAGTGTACTAAGACCCATAGGCAGCGACAAGACTCAGTGCCTCCCCTTTGCAAAGTTTTCTGTAATTTTTTTTTTTTTTTTTTTTATTTTTTTTATATAGTCTGTTTGCCACTTTCCAATGTCCATATTTGTCTTTTGATTTACTTTATTCAGATGGCAATAACTTATTTTCTTTGCACATACAGCCCATCATCTCTGTAGTGAATAACTCTGTGCAAGAAAGAAAAAGTATGGAACATTTGGTTATTTGTCATATCCAATTTTTTTTTTTAATCAATTTTATGTAATACAACCTGTGCTGCCTGTCACAGTAGCCAGGAATGCAGTGCACAACATGGAAATGGTGTCTTCCCTGGAGCTGATGCTCTTCCAGTCACTGCCTACACACATTACATCCCACCTTTGTCTATTAATGGGCATAATACTAAAGCCCCCTTCTAAGTGCCAAATGAATCGAACCACACTCCAAGAGGTCTGTGCACTGTCATCTGGATTGTCAGGGTTTATTTATACAGCACATCTCTTATAGATTGGCCTTCTTGGACACTTTTTCATCTTGAATGTTAATGAGGTTATGTAAAAAGTGAAAGCAAACAAAAGCAAATGGTGGATTTCTTCCAGGACGTTTCTGAGAAGTGCAAGTCACTGGGAATCAATGCTCTGCATGTAAAGATCCGAGCCACTGGAGGCAACAAGACCAAGACTCCAGGCCCAGGTGGCCAGTCAGCCCTCCGTGCCCTTGCCCGTTCTGGGATGAAGATTGGGCGCATTGAAGTAAGTAGTGGTGTACATAGTTTTGAAGATTCAAGATATTTAGTGATGTCAACTCTGTTGTCCAACATAAAGAATTTGATGTTCCATTAGTTTCAGAGGAAAATAGAACTAGAATCCTTTATCAGATTTGACATTTATAGGATTTTCCTGTCAGAAAAGAAGCCTCAAAGCAAATGGGTAAAGTCCGAGAACAGCCACTCTCAATCAGATAAGACAGTAAATCTGCTGAGCTGACTATGATGGGACACCATTTTTAAAATTTATATAACAAATTAACATGGATTTGGAACTTGTTGCCGTCATTTATATAACCAAAATTGCTGAGCTTACTGCAGTTGTGAAGGGAAACAATCTAAAACCATCACTAAGTCCATACAAATTAAGAACCCTAAGTATTATTTCATGGGGCTATAGAAAGTATATTTGGTTCATAACTTCTAATCAAAAGAATCCGTCACTGCAAAAAGTGCTGTGAAATTTATATTTGAAGAGAGTAGTGAAACAATTTTTGTTAAATTGTTCTTTAGTTACGTTTCTGTTTTTGATATTGACTAATTTTTTCAGGATGTTACCCCAGTTCCCTCTGACAGCACACGCAGGAAGGGTGGTCGCCGTGGTAGGCGTCTGTAATTGGTCAGCTGTAATAAATATTATAGTTTAATTTGTAATTTTTTTTCCTCCCATTTTATGAGTAAGAAACATTTCTGTAAGACATTTCTGTAATAAAAGATTGTGGAACTAGTTGAAAATTATATTGATAGTTTTTAGTCTAATTTCTGTTCGGTTATGATGGGTAAATGACTATGTAAACTAGAAAAGGGGCAAGAATTGTTTTCTTTAGTTTTTCAATTTGAAAGCTATTAGGCGAGTTTTTGATGCATTATCAAAATACAAAGTTGAATATGTATTGTGCAAGCCTTTCTATCCTACCTGAAATGTGCAGTCAAAGGCTCAAATGTTATCAATAGAAGGTTTTAAATATTTGTAGTTGAAGTGTACATTTAAACATTCATCTTCAATATCAGATGCAAGCCAGAATGTCAGGTTATTGCAACAGGAAAACATGTAAGTATCAATATTTTTTGTTAATGATGGAATGACATAATGTGACGTACTGAAAGATCAAATTACTAAAATATTTAGGTGAAAATAGTGAACTCTAGTATTTTTTCAGGGACTTGTTTTGGAGATGGGGGCAAATGGCTTTCAAGAATGATGAAATGTACCAATCCCCTGCCTCTCTTGGAAGCCAGCAAGGTTTGTATTTACCTGTTGAGTAATTGATATATCATAGTGAAATTTTGTAGTCTGTTATAGCCCAAGATCTGAAATTCAGAAATGTCTTTATATTACAGGGTGTTTTCAGAGATGGTGGTCGCATTAGAAGAAAGCTTTGGATGAAAGACCAGGATTGATTTACATCCTCATTGAATCAAGTTTTCATTACCAAGGTAATTATTTAGTACTGTTTAGTTAACTCTCAATTGGTCAAGATTTTGTTTTATAAATATTTATGAATAAATTAGGTACAACAGTATGTTCTGAGGCTGAAGGAAAAGTAACTTTTACATTTGTAGAAATGAGTTCTTGTATCCCTGCAGTGTGTCCAGAAAAACAATGATTGTTTTCGTAAAGCATTTGTATATAACATTAAAGCAGTAGAGGTAAAACATTACTTTTTTTTTTTTTTGTGCCAATTCTCTCCACACATCAAACCCCACTGGATTGTTTTATGAAAGGGTGTACTGAAACTGTTTTATGCAATAGATTATATGAATATTTGATGCTTAGATTAATGGTTGGGTAGAGTAGATGATTTGACATATGGAGGTTCTCAACCAAGCTATGTAGAATTTGAAGACGCGGAAGGTGGAGAGAGAGATTTTGCATGTGTAATATTCAATACTTATCAGTGCCCTCATTACCATAATTTCTATTGAGTTATAAATTATGAAAACTACCACTTTTCCTAGGGGTAATATTTACTTTTGTGCCATTTCTATTTCTTGATGCCTTTCTCAACCTGTTTGGCCTGGCATAATGATGGATGGTAGAAAGATGGAAAATATCCACCTGAATAAGCTTGACTAGTTTATTCAAACTAAGATTTTCGGACAGTTGAAAGAAAACATATTGATCATTATGATAAGATGGTTCTGTTTCTGATTGGAATCCACTTTTTTCAGAAATGGTGTTGCAGAAAAAAAATGTTCAAGCTCAGTTGCCTAAGCTAACTGGTTTCTTTTATAAAAGGTAAGTTATTTCTCTAAATGTTTTAGATATAGATTTGAGGCTTGTGTGTAATGATGTGAAGATAAGGTAAGAAGAGAACAGGTTCAGTGCAGTTTACTAGTTCAGTCTCTTTTTCATTTGCCAATTGTTCATTTGTAAACTCTTACATAGGTGATATCTTACAAAATAGTACAATGCTTGATGTTATTGATGTGTAATTGTTCATACTCTTATTCTGAATCTCTTGTTAGGAAGTGCATAAGAAAGCAAATGACAATAAATTTTCCTTAGGACTTCTTGAATGACTAGCAAATTAACATCAGTCGTCTAGCTTGGCCAGACTGCTACGTACCTCCATAGTTTTACCCTCTCATCTTGGTCTCTTTTTATTTTATACTTGAATTTGAATAATATTGCAACATCCCATTTTTACCATCATTCAAAGACGTCCTTCTCAACTTGCTTGGCTCGGCGTAACATTCGATGGTAGAAAAAGCTGAAACTGCAATCCAGATGTACTTTTTTGTTTATTTGGAACCTGTTTTCAGATATTTAAAAGTGCTTTTATGTGACTTAAGGTGTGTTTTGTTGAACTGTTTAATTATATTTTTTCTTTATTCCTCTTTCAGGTATGAAGTATGGCAGTAAAGATTTATGCCATCAGAGTGGAATTTCAGGTACAGTTCTTTAGTCAGTTTTCTTCTTAGATATTATCTATTAACTTGTCTTTGTTGAATGGTTGTGAAATACAATGGAAGGGCAAAAGTATGCTTGCTTTTATATTTTTTCTAAATACCAGTCCTTATGATGAAAGCAACATGGATATGAAATAAGTTGGAAGTAGGTAGGAAGGATTTATTCCTGTTATGAAATATTTAGACCTAATACCACCTTCAAATTCATTCAGATCTTTATTGGGGAAAGAATAATCTGTAAAAGTTCCTTGTTTACTTACATTTTTACTTTATTTTTGTTTGTGAATCAAGCTAGCTGTTTTCATGGCTATGTATTAAAGCCAGTCCACTTTGATGTTTCCCTTTTGATTGTCACATTATTTAGTGTGTTTGTAGTCAGATTGTGTGAAAGGAAAACACTAAGATTATTAAGCACTGTTATCAGATAGTTGACAATGTATTTTAAATTGAATTTTTTACTGGTAGTATTTATTTTGTACCATTTTTATTTTTAGATGCCTTTCTCAACTTACTTGGCTTGGCATAAATATAGATGGTAGAAAAATGGAAAATATCCACTTGAATAAACTTGACTAGTTTATTCACACTAAGATTTTCAGACAGTTGAAACAAATGGTATTTTTGTATTTTATGAAATGTGATAAAGGTTTATTCTGATTAAATTCTCCTTTTTCTAGAGTTGTTTGGCCAAAGAAGCATTTTGAAGTTCAGATATCTACAGTAGATGGTCACCTCTATGAACAGGTTATATTAAAAGGTAAGTTATTTCCCTAAATAATTTAGTATTATTTGATTTAATGTAATGTTGAATAGGTAGAGGAATTCCCAACCCTATTTTATTGTGGTCTTTCTTGTATTGTTGGTTTAGCATAACAATCAATAGTAGATAAAAAAAGATTTCCAACTAAAGGAAACTCTTAATTTTGTTTATTTTTTAAACTTGGTATTGTCTTTTGATTTAGAAATTTGTCAAAGATTTTGATACCATTAAAAAGCACGAGATCTTGCGCATCATTATTTTAAATCTGTTATGGAAAGAGTGGAGAGTATGAAAGAACCTTTCTGCTATTATCTGAGAATAACCTGTAATATTCCCCAGTGCTTACTACTTCCATGCCTTTTTGATGGAAAAACAGGCCCAAAATTTCATGCATTTTGTTTTCAGTTTCACATTTAGCATGTTTGTAGTTGCATTCAAAATGAATCAAAAGGAAAAATTATGAAGCACTATTAGCAGATCAAATGGCTTGCTTATTGCTCCTAGAATAGAATTATTTCTGGCAGTATAGTTTTTGTACCACCGTTTCAAGAATGCTTTTCTCAACTTGCTTGGCTAAGCTTTATGATGGATGGTAGAAAAATGAAAAATATCCACCTGAATGAGCTGAACTGGCTTATTCATACTAAGATTTTTGGACAGTTTAATGAAGATGTAATAGTGAAGTTTGGTTTCAAAGAGAAAAATAGAAAAGTCTGATTCAAGTTCTCCTTTTTCCAGAAATGGTTTGGCTGAAGAAGCAGGAAGCTCAAGACACCTGTGGGAACTGTCAACCTTATTGAAAGATTACATTTAAAAAAGTAAGTTGGTAAATTGTTTAAGTACTTAACATTAATATGGTTTTGTCCTATTAGTCATTTGTGCTGAATCTTGGTATTAGAGTAAAATGATAAGTTGGATCCAAACAGGCAAACAACTGTTTAGTGCACAAGAGTTGTAGTAGACTGACTGTACGTGGCATGGATACTTGGCCAGCAGGCATTTACACCCAATTTACCATGCGATGATTAGATGCAATTTGTTTTGAATGGTAAAAGCAAAAATATTTAACTAATTTTACAAAATATATTAATGCCTAATACCATTTTTGTGTATCTTTATTCTAGATCTCTGCAGTAGGGAAAGAATTAGAGCAATGGCTTTAGGTTCCCATTTGTTTTGTAGAACTGACTTCCCTTTGTTTATTGTGTATTTGTCTTCCTCATTATGAACCCAATTGGTTAGCTTGATTTCCAATCTTATCCAAAATGCCTTATTGATTTTTACTTCGTTTCATCACGTCTCATACTTGTCTCTGTTCTAGTCAGGAGTAGAAGCGAAATGAAAGAAGTAGAAAACTGTTAGCAGAACAAATAGTGTACTATGCAGTGCCCCAAGGATTTTTTTTGTGGTATTGCTCTTGTACCATTATTTCAAGACGCCTTTCTCAACTTGCTTGGTTTGGCATACTGATAAATGGTAGAAAGATGGAAAATATCCACCTGAATAAGCTTGACTAGTTTATTCAAACTAAGATTTTCGGACAGTTGAAAGAAATTTTGGTTTTGGTGTATTCTGGTTATAAAAGGGGGGGAAATAATTATTCCCTTTTTTTTTTTCAGAAATGGGTTGGCTGAAGAAACGTGAAGATTGGATATTCATTGTAACCAGTGCCCATTATTAGATTGAAGGAAAATGGTAAGTTTATTTTCCAAGTATTTTTTAATGTATTAGAAGTAATATTACTTGGTCAAATATTTCTTGAACCTTTGAATTAATGATACCTTTCATCGTGTGTTGGTTTAGGGTAACAAACTATTGTAGGTAAAGGGAAGATCGCCCTTATAGTTTAATTTCATTCGATTAATGAATAAATTTGGTTTTACAGTTGTATATTAAGGGGACCTTCTGCTGATTTTTCGGCCATTTTCGCCCCTCTTGCCGAAATGGACTTTAATGCAGTTTCAAGTAGTTTCTAGGCCCCCGCTTCTCCCTGAAAATTTCAAGGCTCGACCGTTATTTTTTAGGTGGTAGCAGCGATTTTTGATGTCGACCGAAATATTATTTTTTTGATGGTACCTTTGAAAATCGGCAATTGTGACGCAATAATTAGAGATAATAAAAATATGAGGTTATTTTCTAAAGCTTATCAAATTTCACATAAGATGAGACCAACCTTCTTTTTTTTGGAATAATTTCAAAAATCCGGCAAGCGTCCAAAAAACGGCAATGAAGAAATTTTCCATAGAAATAACTAAACATGATATGTTTTTTCATATGGTGTATTTTCTTATCTTTATGTTTTCATCATACATAGTTACTTTGATCTATGAGCAAAAAATTTCGAAGATGCAAACCTCCCCCCCACCCATGGGGGGTAGTTTTGCCAAATATTCAGGATCACACCAAAATTATATGGAATATTAATTAGGCTAAGACAAACCTCAGGTTAAAATTTTATTCAAATCTATTCATAACTTTTCGAGTTAGAAAAAAAATTCCTGGATCCAAACCATGGTCCGCATCACCACCAAACTGCAATAAGCGTCTAAGTTAGGTTAAAACTCACTTTTGGTTAAAATCTCGTTAAAATGTGTTCATAACTTTTAGAAATATTAGAAAACACAAACTAATAATCAAAAAAACAACAAATAAACAATTAATAAACAAACAAAGAAACAAACGGTAGTAACAATATAAATAACAAAAGGTCATGGGGTACACGAAAATTATCTATATGTGCTCATATACCTTATATACATAGTTTCACATCGCCATGTAATTGTTTTTCGACTTTCCACGGGGTCTGAGAGTGAAATTTGGCTACGTGACCCCGTAGAGTTATTCCGCAGATTTAAAAAGACGATTTTCATGGTCCAGGACGGCCCCGTCGCGTGGGAAAAGTATGTGTTTGGTACCCGTCCGACTGGAGAAAAGTTATTCTTTCGACAAATATTATACGTTGTAAAACCTCATTAGAGCATCAATAATAGGTATATGATAGATAATTATATCAAATACAAGTATTCTGTACATGATTTGTCATGTAAAATGTAAACATAATAAAAAGGAATAAGATCGCATTTTTAGGTCCTTCATATTTTTACGCATAGCACACGTAAATCGGTCGATTTTAAAGTATTATGGCTCATTTTGTAGCTGAATAATAGTTCTATTACATACTGCCATGAGGATTTGCAATATTTTCACGTGGTTCTTGTAAAAGTGACATATGTTTCCAAAATCTCCTATTAGGGTGTTAAAATAGTCACCTTCGGAAAATATTCACCAAGAAAAAAGTAAGGTCAACTTCTCAAAAATGGCTTCTGCATATAATAGTAGAAAGATAGTTCTATTCAAACATGAAATCAGAATGGCTGTATGATTTTCTTTGGATTTTTGAGAATATTTAAAAAATGGTCAATGTAGGCCTATAGACCCCCAGATCACTGCCAACTCCGCACTATACGTAAGATTTTGAGAAACCGTTACGTGCTGGCAATGTCCGCAAGACTTCGGAATGCAGGTAGATGATAGAGGATTATGGTGTAGGAAGACTAATCTTATGCCTTGTTTTCTTGATATCAAGATAGCCTTGGAAAGATGAAGAAACGCAAAAAGCCGATATCTCGGAACTCCACCATTAGGGGTGGGTCAAAGGATTCCGGGCACACCATATGTCCAAAATTAACATATTATGGCTCATTTTGTAGAAAAATAAAATATCTACAACGTGATCGAGAGCGTTTTCGCAGTTTTTGCCTGTACTTCTTGTAAAAGTGGTCAATGTAAGAAAATTTTTACCTTTTTTTTTTTCTTGAAGTCCCCAACTTCAAAAATTCACAAAAAAAAATTGAAGTCGAAATCGAAAAAACGCTCTCGATCAAGTTGTAGATATAAGGTAGTTCTGTGCAAAGATCAAATAAAATTGAATGTCTTGCGTTTCTGAAGTCTGAATCCTTTGACCCAGGTGCTGCATTTTCAAAATGGCGAATTTCGCATTTTTCGTTTTTTTGACAATAATTCAAAAACTGTTCCGATTCGAAAAAATCGACCACAGGCAATGGGAAGGGGCCCAAATAAAAGGGTGTGAGTTTCATCAAAATCGGCAAGATAAATCGAAAAATCGAAAAAAAAAGCAGACGGTCCCCTTAATGATCTGGTTTAATTTCATTCGATTAATGAATAAATTTGGTTTTACAGTTGTATATTAATGACCTGCTTTACATAGGTTCTTAAATTTCTTAAACTGTGATTTGTTTGATTTGTTAAATATATTACATATTCAAAAGTTTTCAGTATATAGGTTGTGTAGAGTAATTCTCTTTCCTGCTTATTTTTTATTTATTTATTTTATTTTTTTCTGGTAATTTTGTTCTTTTACCATTATTTCAACATGCCTTTCTCAACTTGCTTGGCTTGGCTTAATGAAAAGATGGTAGAAAAATGGAAAATATCCACCTGAATAAGCTTGACTGGTTTATTCAAACTAAGATTTTCGGACAGTTGAAAGAAATTTTGGTTTTGGTGTATTCTGGTTATGAAAGGGGGGGAAAATAATTATTCCTTTTTTTTTGTTTCAGAAATGGGTTGGCTGAAGAAATGCGAAGATTGGATATTCATTGTAACCAGTGCCCGTTATTAGATTGAAGGAAAAGGGTAAGTTTATTTTCCAAGTATTTTTTAATGTATTAGAAGTAATATTACCTGGTCAAATATTTCTTGAACCTTTGAATTAATGATACCTTTCATTGTGTGTTGGTTTAGGGTAACAAACTATTGTAGGTAAAGGGAAGATCGCCCTTACAGTTTAATTTCATTTGATTAATGAATAAATTTGGTTTTATAGTTGTATATTAATGACCTGCTTTACATAGGTTCTTAAATTTCTTAAACTGTGATTTGTTTGATTTGTTAAATATATTACATATTCAAAAGTTTTCAGTATATAGGTTGTGTAGAGTAATTCTCTTTTCTGCTTATTTTTTATTTATTTATTTTATTTTTTTCTGGTAATTTTGTTCTTTTACCATTATTTCAACATGCCTTTCTCAACTTGCTTGGCTTGGCTTAATGAAAAGATGGTAGAAAAATGGAAAATATCCACCTGAATAAGCTTGACTGGTTTATTCAAACTAAGATTTTCGGACAGTTGAATGTAAATATTTTTTCTTGTAATAACAAAGAGAAATGCTTTCTTCCTAAATAAATGCTCTTTTTCCAGCAATGTTTTTGCCGAAGAACTAATGCGAAGCCGAAGATACCTTTAAGGACAACTGGATGGCTTCATGAAAAAGGTATATAGATTTTTTTTTTTTTTTTCAATCTTTGATTCATAAGATTGTTATTGGATGGAAATATATACTGAATAGTATGAAATTTTGAACCCAGTTTTATCTTTGCTTTCTCATCTCTGTTTGGTGTAACATTCAATAATAGATCAAAAGAGCGCCTTGACATGAGTGAACTGGTTTCATTACGATACATTATGAGTCACTATTTTTGTCTATATTATGATGTATTTTGTTTTGTAGGTATATTTGGAGTGGTTTAATTAGTTTAAAAAATCAGTGATTTATAATAAAACTTAATAAAGATTTATCCAAGTTTTGTCTCCATGCTTCACTCCAGTCTACTTATTAGAAAGTAAAATATCGAGACTACATTTATATTTTTTTCTTGGTCAGGCTGCCATATACACGCCTCTTGTTTCATCTATGGTACTGTTTCATATTTGAATTTGAACTTTAATTGTAATATTGCAAAAAATGTTAGTACCATCATTCAAAGACGTCTTTCTCAACTTGCTTGGCTTGGCGTAACAGTCGATGGTAGAAAAAGTTGAAACCTGCAATCCAATAAACTTCATAGTTGTTTTGGAGTCTGTTTTCAGACAGGAATTGAATTTGTTTTTTTATGATGGCTAAATACTCGAATTGTATTTTACTTATATCCATATTCCTTTCAGATGTGTAGCAGAATAGTTTGTGCCATCAGAGTGTAAATCAGGTGTGTATTCATCTATATTTAATATTTCTCTCTAGTTAATGTTTTCATGATAATGCAACAACTGCAAGCAAAGAAATACTTTATACATCTTAGCATGGTCAGAACGATTCCTTGGAAAAATGGATTTTCCCCTGTTACATTACAAGACTTGTTAATAGTAGCTATAAATCCATTCTAACTGGATGATGGTTTGTGTCAAGGGGAACCAGGATCAGATGCCAGGTTGCAAATAAACATACCATGCACAATTGAACCTGATATAAGTTTTTTTTGCTTTAAACAGTTGTGCATTTTTTTTACCCTGACTTCAAAATTAGACTATAACTTATAGCCTCATTTCCTCAAAATTCATTTATGGAAGTATAGAGTATGGTAAATTAATGATTTTTATACCTCTTGATTTTTGTGCATGTCAGAACCAAATGAGCAAATAACTTGGAACAGGTGGCATGGATACTTGTGCCTGATACACTTAAGTTGTGATAAAATGTCATTAGAAGTGGGTTGAACAAAATGTGAATACCAATTAGCATATTCTTTCATCCTTATTATACTGAAGTGGGAGAGGGGAAGGTGCTTATGAAAATATTTGGGATATCAGTAAATAACCTACAAAACTTCCCAATGTTTTACATGCATTATTATTGTCTTGTCTTTTAAGTGGTTCAGGTTAATTGGTAATCTTGATTCATAATTTCACCTGAAGTTTCATGCTGTAAGCAGTTATTCTTATCAGATTCATAGTGGAAGAAAAGACTAAGCTCTTGATCCCATTATAAATTGATTGTGCAAGCCAATTTATAGTGAATAGGAAGGTTTGCATTTATCCAAGGAGTTTGCACCATCACTAACATGCCATTTGCAGCTCCTCTGTGTTGGCATAATTATGATGGTAGATAAAATGAAGGTTCCTATCCAAGTTAACATTTATTGTTTATATGGAGTAATATGTTCAGACATTTGGATTTAGTTATGGAAGGAAAAGCTAAATTTTAACCTATGAGCTGCATTAAGAACTTGGCACAAAGAACTAAGAAGGTTTTGTCTGTAACTTTACGATATACTTGAACAAAGGTGTGGGTGTAATGGGATATGATATATATAGCAAGAGGAATAGAACTAGTGTTTTATTGCAAATGTAATTCTAAGATAAGAGGGAGTATTATGCCAATAGTGGTATAAATGTCTTATGGCCTTTCCTTTCAGTTTATTTGTAGATATTAAAATCTACTATCTTAGGGATATATGGTATTTTCAAACTATAATTGTATTTCTTTCAAAGATGTATGAACTATTTTATACTTAAAAATAGAATGAAACGTAGATGTTCTTCACTAATTTCTTCTACATTTCAAGCAGTATTCAGGGAGAAAAAGCTTATCACCAAGCAAGGATCCATATTTTGAATTTAAACTTTCTCAAAGGAATTGGGTTGATACAGGTGATATCCATCCAAATTTAGATACTTATAAATAATGAATGTATACTGTACTTGGTATATGCATATTGATTATATTACTGGGATGTTTCTCCACAAGGATATTTTTAGGAGTACTCAATGTTGCCGTAGAAGAGGAACGTTTCTGCTTAGTTGAACCTGGACTTGTTACGTTTTTTAGTACAAAAACGAAAATTAAAAAGGAATCATTTTTAACTTGGGATTTTATGGCAGTGCGATAGTGTAAACACATTAAGAAGTTTGACCAATGCTATTACTTTTTTCAGATCCAGCCCAGTCTCGCTCTCCTTCAAGGATAAAATATTGCTTGGACTTTGCAAGCACAACCACAAAATGGATTTGTTAATATGTATTGTATTTTATAATAAAGTATTCTTAATAAAAAGAATTTCTTTCCTTTCAGTAGATGTTATTTATATAATTGAATTTCCAACACTTGTTACGATGATTCATTGAGTTATAATTAAGCAGTTATACAAACACAATATTTTCATGTATTAGTCTGCAATCTTTTATTGTCCAGGCATTATTTCTTGACAAGTGTAGTTGGAGGTTGTTACAAATCAAGGTGCTTTATCTGTTTAGAATAAACCAACTGAATATCAGGTGAATCTTCGATTACTGTCATAATGCTATTACTAAACTAATTACTATAATGTTCAGTATGATGCCCACGGACATTGACCATCATTGTTTTTATTATTGTCATAATAGGTATGCCACTGCCACAGTATGACTTAGGCAAAACTTTCATGATTATTTTACCAACATTGTTAATACAAATAACTATATTGATATTAATATTGCACAATGGCAGGTGATAATGTTCAGTGTTAGAAGAATAAGAAAGTGACCTTCAGAAGATACCTAAATAGATGTGGGTGGAATACTATGGCGGAAAAGAATCTGAAAATGGGTTATATCTTTTTGGGAACAAAATCAGGTGGCCAGATGTGACATGGCTTGATAAGGGCACCAGTTCCCACAGAATTATCCTCCTTTCAGAAATGCAAGTCAAAGTCACACAGAAAATGATGCTAACATTTATTTAACCTTTTTATATTAAGCATTTTAGTCCTCCTGATTCCACATTAAGTAAATATACTATTTCTTTAGAATTATACTGTTGCTCATGAGTATATTGACAGGTATGTCTGAAAGGCAGTATTACTGTCTCAACAATAATGGTTAAGAAGAAAACCGCTTTTTTAGCATCAAATCTACACGGAACAATTGTAGATGAGCAGAGAATGTATGTAGAAATCCCAGTGCGACAGACACCTTATCAAATCAACAAAGAGAAACAGGTATCAAAAACTAAAGAAAACAAAACAAAAAGAAACGCAACACACCATTACCACCATGTGTACTCCGATTCTCAAGATGAATATTTCATAAGACGTTTTTTCGAGGTACTGATTTAGATATTGCCTTAATATAGATGCAGTCTCTCACTTATTTTTCTGCCTTCTTTGCCATGTAAATTTTGGATGTGCTATTACACAGATTCTTAAACTCGTCATTGAGTCTAGCCATTTTTAGCTCTCAGTACTACCATTCAGTTACCCCAAAGCTATATTGTATAGTCGGCATTGCTAAGTTGTCAGTTGTTGGTTTTGCGCTTGTGGAATATTTTTTCCTGTTTTTATTATATTTTAATATTCATTATACACTCACTTTCATCTATGCCGGGGTATAACCGCTGTTTTAATCTGATCCATTGATATCTTATTTTTTATCCAGTTCCGAGTCAACTTGTGGTACTCAGCTTCTCATTTTTTTCTTTATGATGCGTTTTTGCACATTTATTTAATACAGAACTCTTTTTGATGTCATTGCTGATTACCCTCTTTAGGCACAAGATCGGCCATGCAAAACAGGTTACCTTATCGTTACACTTGCTGTTCATCTCTTGTCCGTGTCCACATAGATTTCTGATATTAACGGTACTAATTTCAAACGTAGTAATAAAGTTGGGAGGGAATCGCTATGGACTATCCTTATTTTTTATAACAGCGCCTTGACAACACGTGTGATTTCGGTATTTGTCTTCATTGCCTTTTTGTGAAATTTGTTTGTTACAGTTGTAGATTAACAATCCAACTCTTTGAAACATGATTTTTTAAAATCTGTCCAGGATATTGAAGTTCTTTATCCTTTTTTTTAGAAATCGTCGAAAATCATTTAGTTACTCAGAAGTCGATATTTGTATCTATAAAATTCTAGCACAAACATTTTCGTTCTGGTGATGTCACTGGTTAAGTTGTTTATAACTGCGCCCTGAAATGACTAAAATGATATCGTATATTGTGTAAGAAAGTGTGATTTGGTCTAATTCTTTGGCATGCCAGCTTCATAATGTACAATCTGAACAACTATTCTGGCATTTTTAGCGTATCTTGAAAAATAGCCAAAAATAATATTGCGCCTGACCGAACTACTGCTGCATGTTTATCATTATCATTAAAATTAGTATTGACCCTAAATCATCATTATAATGATTATTGTTATCATTATTATCATAATCATTGATTAGAATTATTGTCATTGTTTTGATTATGATTATCATTACTTTCATAGCGTCGTTGTCATCCTTATGATTATCATTTTGATTGTTATACTATTTCTGTTCACGCCCGATGTTGGGGATCACCCCTACCTTAGAGAGCGACCCTCCAGATCCTCCACTCTATCACTTTCTCTGCCATTCTCTCTCCTTCCCTCCCCTCTCTCTCTTTCTCTTTCCATCTCACTCCCTCTCCCTCTTCTGCTCCGTTTCTCTCTCATTCACTCACTCTCTCAACGCTATGCAAAATTATTAAGGAACGCCAATAACACAGTGGCGGTGATGGATGACAGATTCCCAAATTAGAAATTGCAAAAGGGTACATGATAAACCGTGGTAATGTAATGTTATGTAACAAATTGTAGTGTAAATAAACTGTAATGTAGTGCAAAGAAGTGTAATGTAATGTAAAAAAAAGGGGCGATGGGGAACTTTTGTCCACTGTACAAAAACGAAATCGCATATAAGGCCTTATTTCATCAAGTATTTTTTTATATTACTTTCCCATTTATTTGAGGGTGTCTCTTATTATCGCTGTTGGATTTCTCTCATTGATGTAATACTTTTTTCTCCATATATAGTACTTCTCTTATCAGCCTTTATCGTTATACTCTAATGCTTCTCTTGTGTATTATTATAATCTAATGTTTCTCTTGTTTATCATTATACTTTGTGTTTTGTTTATTTTTATGATTGAATATTTATCTTGTTTATCATTATACTCTGTGAGTGTATATATTACACACACACACACACACACACACACACACACATATATATATATATATATTATATATATATATATATATATATATATATATATATATATATATATATATACACACACACACGCACACACACACACACACACCACATATATATATATATATATATATATATATATATATATATATATATATATATATATATATATTATATATATATATATATATATATATATATATATATATATATATATATATATATATATATATATACACACACACACACATATATACACACACACACACACACACACACACACACACACACACACACACACACACACACACACACACACACACACACACACACACACACACACACACACACACATATATATATATATATATATATATATATATATATATATATATATATATATATACATATATATATATATATATTATATATATATATATATATATATATATATATATATATAATATATATATATATATATATATATATATATATATACATATGACTATGCATTTTGTGTATAATTGTGGTGGATACTGAAACAATAAACTGCCAATATTTTCTTATTATACTGAATAAATTATTCATTTTAATAAGTCTTCTACAGTAACGGATTAATTTCAATTTATGCAGCTCGTTACCGGTATTTTTTGTCTCTTTCGCGCGCAATAAAGCTAACACGATCCAGCGGAGGGCGAGAATGTCCTCGGTACACCGTTCTGCAGGGTGGCACTCGAAACAACACAGGAACTGTAAGAAAGAATAAGTAGGTTAAGAGTTGGTGAATCACATCAACTGTAGGATCTTAAATTGAATGATTTATATGAGCTGAAAGATATATGATTTTTTTTATCAATATCATTGTATCATTTACCATACACAAACCTTATTTTTACTTTTAAAAACAGGAAAGCTTAAGGAAAACTCTCCGAAGCAAGCACGCAAACAGAATGAATAGATAAATACATAAATAAAAGAAAAATAGATAAGTAAATAACATAAGATGATATAAGAAATAAAATCTAAAATTCTCCTCTACTCACTGCGATCCATGGCCGTCCATATGGGAAGAATGAAGGAAAAATAACCAGCAAAGAAAGAAATTGATTCAAATCCAAAACAACGACAACAACAAAAACTCACTGAGATCCATAAGTATCCACATCAACGGAAGCGATCTCAATTGAGTAGGAGTTCGAACCGATCCAGAGATCGTTGACAACATACTCGAGCTCGACCTGTGTGCTCGTTATGCCGCCGTTCTGAGGGACAGGCACGATGTGGGTCCTGACGCTCCCTGGCTGTATCCGTTCACGCTCCCACCCGCTGATGGAAGAGAAATGTATTAAGCTTTTTTCTGATGTAATAGTGACTTTGGGAGAGGGAGGGAGGGAGGGAGAGAGGGAGAGAGGGAGAGAGGGAGAGAGGAGAGGGAGAGAGGGAGAGAGGGAGAGAGGAGAGAGAGAGAGAGAGAGAGAGAGAGAGAGAGAGAGAGAGAGAGAGAGAGAGAGAGAGAGAGAGAGAGAGAGAGAGAGAGAGAGAGAGAGAGAGAATGAATTTCCTAAGTTTCCTTTTCATTTTAGCTGATATAGAAGTGACTGAGGGAAAATTAGCTTACGAAATATAACATTGATGATAAATAGGCGTTCAAATACAGAAAGTTTAAGATGAACGCAAGTTGGATATATACAATATTTTAAAGGGAGATTAAGAAACGAGGCTGGTGCCAAATCTAACTTCAAGATCTGGCACTCGTTGTCTTCCATGCCAGAGATCTTGACCCTGAGGAAGAGGTCGCCGTGAGCCTCTGTCGAGCCGACAGTTAACGTAGCCTGTAACACGTAACACACGCTGAATAGCTTTTATTGTGCATCGAGGAAAGGAAGAAACCTTATGAACTAAATTTCTGGTTCATTCGTTCTTGTCACATTACTTCTAACTTTATGATGCGTTCCAAAAACCGTGAATGAACAAATATAAGATAACAAAAACAGACTATTGCACTAACCGTGGCCTGCAAGGCAACAAATGGAGCTCCAGTGAGAGTATCCATGTAGAAAGTACCCTCGTTGTTCCGGTCAACATACCAGCCAAGGGTGTTTGTGACACTGAGGCAGTCACCCCTCTGGAGGATTTACAGAGAACGGGTCAATAAACCACCAGAGAAAAGGTATGGCCTGACAAGAATCATAATTTGTTTGTTTTTCTTCTCTTTTGGTTAGTTAAAGATCGATATTGTCAACGTATCTGATAACCTATTGTTTATTTTTCTGTAGACCCACTGGTCTGTTGAGTTCAATAACCAAGCAAGAGTTTCCTAATTTAACAAGTATATCTAAGTCTCCCCAAAAGGCCCTTAACCTCCTTACCTCGAAATCTTCGTAACTGGCGCACTTGAATCCTAAGAAGTCATTGGCTGATAGAGACTGAATGAAATACTCTGGAGCTCGACTGTGGCTGCAGGCGTCAATGTCATCCAAGGCTAAGAGTAGACGATAGTAAATAAATAAACAGTAAAGGGTATTACGTCATTGTTATATTATAGAAGAGAGAAGGGCATTATCGTCAGTCTGACATCACTTGTTCACAGCTCTCGACTAAGGATGAAAATAAGACGCCAATTCTACTTACTCAATATTGCTCCCTGGCAAAAGAGTGCGATATAATCTTTAAAGTTATGTCTATGACATCACAATCGCAACAGGGAGAATAACAACGATTGAAAATGAAAGAAGATAAAACCAAATGAAGAATAGAATGAAATTGAATTAAATGAAATAAAATAAAATAAAATGAAATGAAATAAAATTAAATGAAATAGAACAGAATGAAATGAATTTAAATAATATAAAATGAAATGAAATAGACTAGAATAGATTAGAATAAAAAAAAAAAACAGCAAAAAGAAAGAAAGAAAGAAAGAAAGAAAAAATAACGAAACACCACTCACTGAGATCGGCCAGATTCTCCAGCACTTCGTCGATCAGTTTGGGACAACCGCGCTGATCGTGTCCGCCGCAGGGATAGAAGTCCACGTGGCCCACGGGGTCCAGGAAGGACAGGTGGCCCGTCAGGAGGGGGCCGCTGTTCGTATGGATCACGTCCACGAAGGAGGCGTCGCTGGGGTCCAGGCGGTCTTGCAGGGGAGCCTCGCCGAAGAGGGGGTAGGCGGGGTCCAGACCTGAGGGCGGGAGGGGCGATGGAGGGCGGAGTGACTGGCATATATATGTATATATATATATATATATATATATATATATATATATATATATATATATATATATATAAGTATGTATATATATATGTATATACATATATATCAACATAGATAGATAAATAGGTAGATAGATAGATACACAGACAGATAGATAGATAGAGAGAGAGAGAGAGAGAGACAGTCAGCCAGAGACAGACATAGACACATCGACAGAGCCAGAAGAAAAACCCGAAGATGTGATCTCAGCGTAGTACGACCCCCGGCCTGTCCTTCTGCACACTTCCCAGGTCGCGGGTCGTGTTGCCAAGCCTGCTCCCAACCGCCCTTCTCACCTGTAATCCTGTCAACCGTCTTGAAGTTGTGGCCGGCGACGCCCATGACCTGAGCCCCGAGAGAGAAGCCAATAAGGTGGACCTCCGAGGGAGAAAGTCCCCCTCGACGCTTCAAGTCGTTCAGGAGACTCGCCAGTTCCTTCCCGATGAAGGACGTGTCGGCGGCGGCCAGGTCGTACCTCGGAGCGGCCGCAAGGGTCTTAAAGTTTACTCTTATCACATTCGCGTCAATCTGTTGAAGGAAGGAAGATTTCTTAGAACTGATATTCGAGTAAAGTTGTGCGTTTTCCTTTGAGGCTGAAACGGTCACTTTAGTATAGCTTGTGAGGTTGTATAATATATTTTGTAGAATGATCTGAGTTGAAGACCACTTGTGAGGTTTTATGGTGTAAATATACTTTGCCTAGATATCTGGGTTTATTATACGTATTTTTGTGATGTTGAATCAAGTAATCATATCTATTTCATATCTACAGGTCATCATCATATTGTAAAATCTATATAGAAAAATGTTTCACAGGCAACACTGATAAAACAGAAAAAATGAAAAGAGGAAAATCGGTCCATAAGAGTTACACAGTCTCTCCTTGCTTCCGAAAGAGAGAGTGAGAGAGAGAGAGAGAGAGAGAGAGAGAGAGAAGAGAGAGAGAGAGAGAGAGAGAGAGAGAGAGAGAGAGAGAGAGAGAGAGAGAGAGAGAGAGAGAGAGAGAGAGAGAGAGAGAGAGAGAGAGAGAGAGAGAGAGG